GACAAAAAAAAAATTTATTGCCATAAATTAATCCAGTAGGTATATCTGAGAAAGCATGCATCAATTGGTTAGGGCAATAAGCACCTCTAGCACATTGCCCATGTGTTCCCCAAGCTGCCTTCTGCTGCTGCTTGAGATAGCTCCATCTCACTCCTGTTTGGCTTTTTGCTCCTGGAACTTTCTGTCTCCAATCACAGACATGGCCATCTCCAGATTGGAACTCTGGATCCTCTTCTCCTCTGCATAGTCAGTAACTCGCTCCAAGTCCACCGCACCACCGTCATGTTTCTGTGGCTTCTCAGGAGGTCGCTCTGGGCCACGGGTCTCAGTCTCTGTAACTTCAGCTCCACATCCCCTTCAGTCGCCGTATCTAGCTCCTGAAATTTCTTAATTGAAGACTTCTTTCAGGAAATACAACTAAAAGATGATAGGTTTAGATACTCAACATAATGGGTTCTGAGGGAAACCATGAAGTTAAGGGGCCATGCTTAATCTTTGGGGTGAACATCATGAGCTTTCCCAACACATCTCAGGTTGCCTTCAGAACAGATTGTAAATCTGGCTGAATAGGTTCATTCTTATGTTTTTTGTTTGTTTGGTTTTTTTTCTTTCTTTTTTTCGAGACGGGGTTTCACTGTGTTGGTCAGACTGGTCTTGATCTCCTGACCTCATGATCCGCCCACCTTGGCCTCCCAAAGTGCATAAGCCACCATGCTTGGTTTTTGTTTTTGTTCTTGAGACAGAGTTTCACTCTTGTTGCCCAGGCTGGAGTGCAATGGCACAATTTTGGCTCATCGCAACTTCCGCCTCCTCCCAGGTTCAAGCCATTCTCCTGCTTCATCCTCCCAAGTAGCTGGGATTACAGGCATGCGCCACCAGGCCTGGCTAATTCTGTATTTTTAGTAGAGACGGGGTTTCTTTGGCTAGGCTGGTCTCGAACTCCCAACCTCAGGTGTTCTGCCCAGCCTCGGCCTCCCAAAGTGCTGGGATTACAGCCATGAGCCACCGCGCCCAGCCTTCAGATTCTTTCTAATTGTTAGTCCCAGTTACGTGGGCAAGGATTCCGAAAGAGGGAGACTGAGTCATTCCAGTCCTTGGATGCCAGTCTTCAGTATCCTCACTCAGTGTCTTCTTGCTGGCATCACTGTGAGTAGGTATATGATAAAACTTCACTGTGAGTAGGTATATGATAAAACTCTGAATTACACTCCACAACGTGTTTTCTTGGTAGGGCACTTTGCTGTTTACTATCACCCTGGGATCCTCTTCTTTGTCCCTCTGCTAGCTCCTGAGAAGTCTTGGAACACACGCTGGTGGCTGTGGGCTGCCGTGGGACATTAACTGCAGTTTTACCAGCGCTCAGTGCAGATGGAGACTGATCAGCACTAAGACTGGCATTAGCATGCAGTCCAGATGCAGTGATCGCAGGAGGAGTGATGGCAGCCACAGGTGGAGAGGAAACACGTGATGAAGTGGTCACAGGGGCTGGGGTGAAGGCAGATGATGATGAGGGAATGGATGTGACTTTTGGTGAAGACACAGAACCAAAAGGCCATGGTGCCTTATTGTAGGCCATGTTGGTTGTGGAAGTGAATTTGAACACAGCAGGAGGTGCCATGGGCATAGGTTTAACTACTTTTTTTTTTTTTTTTAAGACGGGGTTTCACCATATTGGTCAGGCTGATCTCAAACTCCTAACCTCTGATCCTCCCGCCTTAGCCTCCCGAAGTGCTGGGATTGTAGGCGTGAGCCACCGCACCTGGAGATCTAACTACGCCTTTGGGTCCTCCCTTTTGAACAGGAATCGGCTCGGGCCTGGGTGCAGCAGGTGCTCTTTGCAGAGTCATATTCAAAGTCTGTACA